AAGTGATTGTCATAGATATATTGCAGCGCGGCTTCTGTTAAACATCACTTTCATAATGCTCTCTCTCTCTCTCTCTCTCTCTCTCTCAGCTTTGTATTGATCCGACAATTAATATGAATTAGTTTTCTGATCACAACTTCTCTCCCTTTCTCTCTCTTTAGTCTACTTTTTTTGTTTCGTTTAAATCTTATTAACTGTTATTTTTATAGAAACAGATCAATAAAATAGATAAAAAGTTTTTTGTTTTTATCCAATTCTGAATTTAATTAAAAGTTTTTTCCATTGATTTTTTTGACGAGTTTTGTTATTATAACAGTTATTTTTGTAGACCCATTGTCTATGGTTAAAATTTCTGCTGGAATTGTGTCATAGCTTTAGATTAAGTGTTAGAAGAAGTGAGAGAGAGAGAGAGAGAGAGACTTGTATAACAAAATTGAAGTAATTAATAATGTGTTTGCAATGTTAACAACAGATGTATTGCTCGATTGTAAGCCAACAAACGAGAGCGACGGTCAACGACATGACAATCGCCAAACGTATGGCTCTATTGGTGTTCACAGACTTTGTCTGTTGGGCGCCGATAGCCTTCTTCGGTCTGACGGCCATCGCTGGCCACCCATTGATAGACGTGCCAAAGTCCAAGTTCCTCCTGGTCACTTTCTATCCGCTTAACTCCTGCGCCAATCCATTCCTCTACGCCATACTCACCAAACAATATCGGCGCGACTTTTTCATACTCGTGTCCAGATATGGCTTCTGCACCAAACGGGCCATGAAGTACAAGAACGCCTCATCTCACGGCCAGATCCGCGTCCACACTGTCCGCAGCAATAATGCCGGTAAGTGGAGACCGACCATCCGTTTCAACTATTATAATCGAGTTGTTTTGGTACTGTCTTTTCTCGTTATCTCTTCGCTTGTCATTAACTAATTTGATGGTCCGTTTCCGGGCACTCGCTCTCTGTCTGCCTGTCTGTCACTATCTGTCTCTATAATTGGTCGCATCCGCACACATCCGCGCACCACAACAGCCCTATCGGCGTCAATATTGAGTCAAGTGTCAGCGTGTGACGGGGGTTACCATCACCACCACCATCACCACTACCACAACAACCATCATCACCACCACTCCAAACACCACTACAACTACGTGTGCAGTCGCGGCCATCGTCACCATCACTGCTGTCCCAATCTGTCCGATGACGGCTCCCGTAGCGCACAGAGCATGATATACCCGGAACTGTCCAGCGGTCGGTCCAATAATAGCCACTCTAACGACTCCACCCATGAGATCGTTAGGATTACATCGAAAAATGGTTTAACGAATAATATCAGCGATTCGTCTAATAATAAGAAGAAGAATAAGAAAGATAAAAGAAGAAAGCATTCCCTGGTATGTCATTGCTATTGATTATCCATCCCATCATACATAACATCCATACCGTTCCCTCACTCATACACAATACTCTCCAGTTTCTCTCTCTCTCTCTCTCTCTCTCTCTCTCTCTCTCAGCTTTGTATTGATCCGACAATTAATATGAATTAGTTTTCTGATCACAACTTCTCTCCCTCTCTCTCTCTCTCTCTCTCTCTCTCTCTCTCTCTGTCTCTCTCTCTCTCTNAATAAAATAGATAAAAAGTTTTTTGTTTTTATCCAATTCTGAATTTAATTAAAAGTTTTTTCCATTGATTTTTTTGACGAGTTTTGTTATTATAACAGTTATTTTTGTAGACCCATTGTCTATGGTTTAAATTTCTGCTGGAATTGTGTCATAGCTTTAGATTAAATGTTAGGAGAGAGAGAGAGAGAGAGAGAGAGAACGTGAGAGAGAGAGAGAGAGCGAGAGAACGTGAGAGAGAGAGAGAGAGAGAGAGAGATGCTTAAATGTAAAACAAGTGATGTCTGCACAAAAAAAACAAACTAATGATTTATTCAAACGTTAAATTACTTTTTTGAAGACAACAATTTTAAGACCTTTAATACCCTAAAGTCCATTGAAAATCAATACATTAATTAATACAAAATGCATTGTAATTATCACTGAAATTGATAGGAATTCATGTCATCGGATGAGGACGAGAGCACGAGTAGCGCAATGCACAGGTCGTCTCCGCACCCGATCCGCCGGTCGGACACCAAACTGAACCGTTTGCCGAGTGTAGAGCAGAGGGAAATCCTGGCCCGAGTGCTCCAGAAGGACGGCAGCGGCAAACAGTCGTCCACGTCGTCCACCACCCGGTGTTGTCTGACGTGTGCGGCACTCAAACACACGTCCAGCACCTGTAAGCTTAAGATGTGCTCGGCTTGCATACAGCGCGACAGCAGTTCTGGCGAGAAAAGTGTTATTGATTACGATTCCCAGCTCTTGCGGTGGACAACCAAAACGACGGGCACCGGCACTGTCTGCACGTCATCGTCGGGCGGCAAATCGTGTTCCCTCTGCTGTTCGGCCAAAGCGGCTGCCATTGCCGGCAGTGGCGGCACCGGCTGTACCCCACTCTGCGCTACCGACGCCCCACTTGTCTACAGTTGCGAGAATCAAAGCTATGTTGTGAGCAGTCATTCCAATAGCGCTAACGAAGACACAGAGATCTAACAGTTGCCGACTCGGACTCACCTCCCAAACCGACTCCCTGTCCATCGCAACCCATTTCCCCATCTATTTTAAGTGCAAATGTATATATGGTTTATGTTTTCCCAAAAATATTTAGTTTATGTTACGTTTCATATTTATATTCATTCATCTCATCATTGAAATCATTGCTTGGGTTAAAAATTCATATGTAATCAAGAATTTTGTTATTAAATTAAATTTTTACTAAAATGAATTGTTTTCCTACAAAGCCATTGACGAGTGATTGAAACAAAGTTTATAAACAAAGTTAAATTATTGTTAGAAAATGTATTTAAATTAATTAAATGTAATATTTATCAATCAAACCGTTAGTCTATAGATAAATGATTAATAAGTAAATAATATTTTAAATTCAAAATTTTCTCATAGATTTCTAAACACACAGAATATTATGCGATAAAATAATTGTTTTTGTTATAATTAATAATAAACAGAAAGTTTATAAAGTGTTTTCAATGGAATATCAAGCGATAATAAAAACATTTAAATATGAATTTTGTTAATAAATTGAATTTTAACTAAAATAATTGACTCATTTATTTAATTAAAAATATTTATTATTTTACAGAATCGGCCAAATATACAGTTATAACGTATAAGTTATTATGTTTATGATTGCAAGTAATCTTTAATTTCTGGTCATATAATATATTAATAATTAAATAATATTATTGTTATAACTTTGTTATAATTTGTCAACTGACCATGGTCATAATGATTATAATAAAGTGCATAATGCAAAGCAGAGTGGCGCAGTGGAAGCGTGCTGGGCCCATAACCCAGAGGTCCGTGGATCGAAACCACGCTCTGCTAAATTCACTTTTTTAATTACCCCGAACTTAATTAATCTCAATTTTTGTGATAAATAATGTTTAAAATAATCTGTGTATTTAAATATTCATAAAGGTATTAATATACATGTATCTATTTTATATAACTATGGTTTAATCATAATGGTTTAATTCTCAATAATTTTTAATTTAAAAAAAACTTTTTCCATGCAATAATTCTCTTTTACATTAAATTGAATTTATAATAAAATAATTAATTCACATTTAATGTAATCATAATAAAAAAATTAACGTTAAAATAAAATACACCATAAAACAACCTTATTCAATCCCATACCGAAGCCCAGTCAAGTTAGGTTAGGTTATTAACGGGAGTTCATTGTATAATCAATTACATCACTCATAGGTGGCGACAACTACTGGTGTAAAAGTCACAGAAATACGAGAGCCATTCATAGACTAAGTGCAGACATAACGACGGCGTTTGTGTTAAGCGTATGGCTATTACATAAAAGGGGGCGATTAGGGGGCGATTGAACACATGATTTGTGTATTGGCCCGCATTTAATGATGTGAAAAGCATAACAGCATAACTGCAGCACAACTGCTGGGCATTGCTTTAAGACAAACCAAAACAACCATTAGTTCACTGCTTATGTCAGCTGATTATCACCACCACTTGATCCGTGTGTCTGTCGCTCTCTGTACGTGATTGTGTCTCAGTGTCTGTGAGTGGGTCTCCCTTTCTGTGCGCCCTTACCATCGATGCTGACGATTGTTGTTGTGGTGGGGATCCAGTGATGGTGATCGCTGTGGCAGCCATTGNCTGTGCGCCCTTACCATCGATGCTGACGATTGTTGTTGTGGTGGGGATCCAGTGATGGTGATCGCTGTGGCAGCCATTGATCCGCACAACACATCCGCTGCACACCATTATCATCAGTCATCCACTTGTTCTTCGCCGGTGATATTATCAGCCAATCGCTTCCCACATCCGCACGTATTCGCCAGCACTGTATATGTATGCTAACCATCGCTGACCAGTGTATGTATAGCTCTTTTGCACATCTGATCCCATGCCCTCATCAGTGATTACGACACCATATGTGGGTGTCTTAAAGCTATGATCAATTACTGTCGAAGAATGTATGCGTGAGTTAATGATATGAGATGATCAGTGGTGGCCATTATCCGCCCCCAAACACCCCCTCCTCTGCCCAGACCTGTCCTCTATGTCTCCCCCGTTGTGTGTCTTCTCGCGGACACCACCTCTTGTTATCAGCCGATTATCTCATTGTTTACATAAACACATGAATAGAGTGTTGTTTTGGTCCGTCTCTTATCGCCACTAAAATTATCGCAAAAATTAATTATAATTTTTCTTGTTTTATGTCAAAGAGATATCGCATATGAAATGCCAATCAAAACGCTCTCTAATATTAGGTATTGATTGCCAATTGATCTCAAAATAGTAAATGCTTTTAATTGAGTTGACTATGAATTGTGTGTCTGAATGTTGTCTTCAATTGGGATCAATTCAATGATTAATAAGCACTCGAATGGAAGCGATTGTAAGAATGAGAGGAGACAATCAGTGCCAGAGATCTACCGCCAGTCGCAGACATTGAAGAATATAACTATCGTTGAAATTATAACTAATCGATTGAATTATATATAACTTCCAGTGTTTCTGATTCAGCGAGAAGTTAATGAGTGGTTAATAGGAGAGGGAGAGTGCGAGAGAGCACAGGAGAGTATGAGGGAGGGAGAGAGAGAGAGCTGTAGAGAGAGATGAGACTCTTAGGGTAACCCGTGGTAACGTGTGGTTGTGTTGGTGATGGCAAAGGCAATGGTGGGTAACGATAACTACTGGTAACACATAAGAGGCAATTGGTTT